AAGAAGTACTTCCCTGCCTGCCACTTTTGATGAAGAGGTGGTCAGATGGGCTGCCAGCCCATCATGAGGTTTGTAGCTCCAGCAAGAAGGAACTGGAGTATTTCACACCTGACTCAGACACAAGGCAGCTCGTGTGCCGACAGAATGGCGTCATAACCCAACAGCCTCTTGTAGGTACACTGATACATCTCTGGCTCGCAGCACTATGAAGGCTGAATTGTCCTGACAATACTTTTGAAAAGGATACCCTGCAAACTCTGCTCTTTGATGTCTTGGTCACATTTAGACTAATTTTGATTTACTGAGTCTCCAAGACTCAATAAAATTGATTGATCTAGCTGGGCACTACAAAATTGTATCATATAAATGAATGAATTCATTCCACACCCAGAACTTTTAATACTGATAATAAGTAACTGTGGAAGAAGACTAGCGTATATGTGCGGGAAAAGGACTGGCACTTGATCTACTAAGAATTAGTTATAATCAATAAGTTAATCATTTAACAACAATGATCACTGTTTGAAAGACACTATAGACCTAGTTTTTAGTGCATGATGAATTTATTTTTATTTATTTATACTAAAATAATGAAAGATCTTCTATTAAAAAACTATTATAATGTATGCATGCAAAACTAGAGATAAAGTTTTAGATGCCAAAATATGAAACAGTAATAGTATTAGCAATTTTGCATCTTCAAAGTTGTTTTATTTTATCTGAATGGAAAAATATGTGGAGATTTAGTGTGGATACCACCAGTACCTACAGATGCACACATTTCAGAAGATAGCAGAAATCAGTCAGATTACAAGATTACAAGATAAGACAGGAAGTAGTTTCACACTCACATCTCTTTAAAATTATAAAATAAGTGAGAGACATGTCAGCAGTGAGCTAATGCTGGTGCTTCGCCCCAAGGGCTCACTTACAGTTGCAATTTTTTTTTAAGCAACCCCAACTATGGTAATTGATTTAAATCAATTCTCCATATGGACATTAGGTAAAGCCCCAAGCGTTGACTTCATCTCCTGTTCACAAGAAATTTAGCATATAATTAACTTTTCAAATTGCAGGGTAGGCTTCTGGGGCGTGTGTGCATGCAGTGAGATTTTACAAATCCTTTAATGATCATTCATAAACCTAACAAAATGAGCTCTACATTCACATGGCTGCAAAAATCAGTTACCAAATATTATGGGAATGACTGATTATTTTCTCCTCCCATACCAATTTTCTGTAATAAATCAATAATGAAGTTTCAAAACAGCTTAAATGTAATTAACAATTGTTTTAAGAGCATTACTTTCCTAACTTGTAATAGAAGCAGTAAGTCTGCAGCATACAATCAGGACCCAATCTTTACTTTGTTTGTTTGCTTATACTCTTCTGCATTGCTTACATACATCAGCTTTCATTGGTTACACTTTTTCTTTTTAAATAGGAAAGCCTTGAAAATTTCACAGCAATAGCAGATCATGCCTTGCAAACACTGAATAATGTTAAAATGGATTTATTAACACAGCATGAAACTGTGGTCCCTAAACCCTGACTTGTGGAAGTTTTTGAGAGACCCTCAGATCTTCCTCAGGGTCACGGGAAATTGTTGTCACTATAGCAGTCACAGGAAGCTATTACCACTATGATTCAGACTGACGCAGGAAGAAAAGTATGATATTTCCTGTAGTACACTATTTCGCAGTGTTGTTGCTGAAGAGCCAGCAAAAGACTGGAGCTATTGGATGTATATAAACCACAATCCCTTTAATGTGTGGAGTCACAAAATCTCAGCAAGGTTGTTACAACTTCAAATTGTAAACCTCTAATCTAGAATTCTTATGTCCCAGTCTAGATATTAGGAAAAATATCTACTACCCTACCAAGACACTATAAATACTCCCTATAAATCCACACACTCGCTCAGAGCTTTCATATGCCTACACTAAGAAAGATCAGTTGCAGCATAACAGGCATAGTGAACTTAAATACATATCCAGCTAGCTTGGATACCAATAACACCACAAATTCCAGCTACTAGGCAATTACCAGGGTGCAGCCCATTCTGGAGACTGCTATCACAATTTCACTGTTATTGGTAGCTGAATTAGCTTCAAGGAAGCTGAGTATTTGTAGGTGTGCTGCAATCATGCACTTTGGCTTCACTGCAACCCTGATTATACTCCGTTTATGTATTGTTCCATTGCAACCTTGCATTTTGTGTTGGCTCTTTCATGGTAGCGCACTTTCACGGAACTTGATGCCCAGAGAACAATATTACCACTATACATCATCTTAAACTACACACACCCTAACCCAATGCACTTATTAACTGAAACACACATACAGGCTGTGACTATTCACAGACTTCAAGATTTTCTATTCATAGTTAGGTCAGTGCAATAATACATTTTGGTCATGACAGAACAAATCAGTATCACTAATACTGAGCAGCACAGGCCTTTAAACAGTCAAGTCTGCCAGACCCGATCCTTATCGCGTCCCAGCTTACACACACAGAAACAATTCTTTTACCTGTGTATACCCATGCATACAGATACAATCATATCTACTTCTTACAGGCATCATGCAACCATACCACATCTGTTCACTGACTCACCCAAACTTACTACAAGTTCTTTAGCTACCCAGCCTGCTAATATGCTGTTAACACATCTTCATAGAGCTTTGCGTTTTTCCTGCCTTCAAATTCATCATTTTATTCCCTCCAATTGTATCAGTTCCTCCCTTGAATTCATAGTTTCTCCCTTCTACTTCTGTCCTTTCTGCTGCTTGCTGAAGACACATAGATCTACTGAAAGTGTGTTAGTACAATTTGTTTCATTAACTTCATTCATTTTCATTCATTTGTTTCTAGCAGTTTCTAAAGGTTCCAGGACTTCATAGAGCTTTGCGTTTTTCCTGCCTTCAAATTCATCATTTTATTCCCTCCAATTGTATCAGTTCCTCCCTTGAATTCATAGTTTCTCCCTTCTACTTCTGTCCTTTCTGCTGCTTGCTGAAGACATTTTGATCTACAGAAAGTGTGTTAGTACAATTTGTTTCATTAACTTCATTCATTTTATTTTGGCAGTTTCTAAAGGTTCCAGGATAGAAACAAGGCCCCAACTACACCAATCACTATGCAAACCAGCCACAGAAATACAAACCCTATCCTAAAGAGATTACAGGCTAGATTTAAAATAAACAGAAATTAAATGCTGAACAAAGGAATTTGGGATGGAAAAAAAATTATATAGCGAGTGCTTTTTTGTTAAACTTACAAGTTTCATCCTGCATCTACATGCCTACTGTTAGTATACTTTCATTTAAGGGTTACCTATGGTAGCATATGTCTGTTGGCCATTACAGTGGTATATAAATGCCCTTATTTATCTCTTTTTAAAAGTACATATAACACCTTTCAACATGCAAATGATACTGCAAAAGAGCTGTTTACATTCTATTTTAAGACCCCCTAGTAGTTTAAACTGCTTGGGTCAAGCACATAATTTCCTCTGTTATTGCAATGAAACAATTCAGAGTGTTAACAAGCCATACACCCAGATTTGTTTCCTATGCTTAGCGTAAGGATTGCTGGGGACTCCAGTAGATGTAAAAGATGACTGTTAGCATTTTAATGGTAACTGTCTGCCATAAGCAACACCTGCTGAAAAGCAAGGTGGATTTCAGCAAGCATTAACCTCGCTGAAGTTTTGCAAGAGGAAATCTTCCATTTTACACCCATCCTCTACATAAGTCTGAGCTTAACATAACAAAAAGCCTGCTGGGCTGAGCTATTGGATCTTAATGTCCCATCAGCTCAAGGGCTGAGTAGTCTCTTTGTATTAGTTGGTAATTTCTTGTAGGCTCAGAATTTACTGCCATCATTCTATACCATGGCACAGCAGCACCACAGAAATGAACTGTGGCTAACTAAACTGACCGGCTAGCACAATTAAAATCACCAACCATACAAAGTATCTACACAAGCCATGCTGTTTTATCGTAAGGACCATGACAGTTCTGGCCTCCCCTGCATGAAAGCTGTCTGGCAACTTTGCTTTTGCAAACTTCTATCTGAGTGCAAGTGTTTGTAAGGTTTTGAAATATAATACTACGTCTCCTGAGTAAAAAATAAAAAATAATTAAAAAAAAGAATATATGACAATACATATCCCTGTACCCTGCCAGCCCTTCTAGCTAACGTCATGCCTTTTCCTCACAATATTAGTCTTGGAACGAACAAATAGATTACCGCTAGTGTAAGACAGTAATAAGGAAAACAGCATTCGAACAGATGATCATACCTCTAACGTGCAGAACAGCCCTGTGCATGCACAGTATGGTTTGGTCTGCTGTTGAAATAGAGTTGGAGTACCTCCAAGCACAATGAAATTCTTTGCGTAGGAGAGCAATGTAAAAACAATTCTGGTGTTACGTATGAGCTACCTTCACTAATGTGTTTCTTTAATCTGTCCAAGGACTCATCTGAATAAGGTAAAAAGTTTCTGGGAAACAAATCTTCATTTTCTACATGTTGTATGTTATCATAATCACACAGAACAAAAATGAGAGGAAAGAACAGCAGAGTCCTCCTTCCACTCCTATGACCATTTCTTTTACACCAGGCTTCTTCAAGATGAGAACTCTTTACGAACCATTTGCAACTCCTGTGAACCGTCCAGAGCCACTATGGCATTCTCCTTGGAAGAACATACAGAAAAACCTGAAATCTCAGATCTGAATTAAAACTGAAATCCTTGCACAGGGGTAGCTTTGAAATGAAGGTAACTCAGTAGCAACACAAATCTTCTCATTATTCTCCAGAATTCTGGCAAAGTACTTATTCAGCCTTAGGGCTGCCTAGACAGTTGCCATCTTTCAAAGCATTATGGCCTCAGGATACGAAACACAGATCTTTTACAAATATGGTCTAACAAAATTGTTTCAAAATGATTTAGGAAGTAATATTAATGGTAGGTAGTTTTGGAAAAGCTTACCAAATCTGATTTCTTTTAAGCCACAGATCATATGCTGAATCCATCTGCTGTTTCTCTTTGATACAGACTGACAAAGCTGCAAGCATGGCTGGAAAAAAATAAATTTGTAACTCAGTATCTACTATTCCTTCCCCCAGTAAACACATTCTATTCTACCCACCCACACTACCAAACCATTGATTTAACAGATACAGTGGTAAAACATACAGAAATTTATTAAGCAGTTTTATCTTTAGCAAGCAGTTTTACCATTAGTAAATTCTTTTAACTATAATTCTAATGTATTTGTCTCCAGAAACATGACTAGCTGTTCTTCCTGATGTTGCCATATGTTCCTTAAACACTTTACACCACCAACAATGCAAACATTATGTTCACCATGCAAAGTGAACCACTATCAGATAGAAAAGGAAGTCTTTATGCCTGTTATGTAAGTCAAACCACTATGATCAGGACAACAGAGTAGGTTAATCATGTCTTTATTACTTACTAAAATCCTATAGCTAGCAGCCTGCGACATCATGTTTTACTTGCATACAGTTATACATAGCTTTTTTGCTGTTACAGAAGACTATTTATTCCATGTCCTCATTTATTATTACTAAAAAAAAATTCTTTGCATTACTGTAGTCCTTTAACTACATATCACTCACTTTTCCTACAAGGAAGAGAAAAAAGGCGAGTGCAGTACCAGGCCTTAAATCTGATCACGGATTTTTTTCTCATACCTCTTGCAAAAATTTCATTAGTTCTTCATGCCCGTTCTTTATAAGTTTTTTACCTGACAACCCGGGGTGTAACTCTGTTTCTATTGTAAGCATATGGTTGCTAACAACTTTGAAGTCTGCCAATAAAAGTCACTAACATGAAAGAAAAGGAATACTTTATTTTTAAAGAAAATCTTATAGATTTGACTTGTTACTTTTCAGAAAATTTCATTTGTTGCTGAACAATATATCTCTCATAATAGCACTAGGAATAATAAAACCACTCATGCTTTAAGATCACTTTTGTCTTTCTGTCTCCAGTTGCTCCCACTTTTCTTTCTCATCCATCCTCCCTTCTAACAAATCCCTCCTTTCTACAAAGGACTCGGCTTCCAAAATGTAAAATCATACATATAACAGACTAAAACCTTTCTTTTTCATTAATTTTTGTTTAGGAAATACAAGATTTCCTAGGGGGGGGGGGGGGGGGGGAATGCCCACACGGTAGCAACTATTGATCCCACAGGAAGAAAAATCACTGATTCAGAACATCTAAAGGGAAAACGCTAACTCTTTTTCTCCCCTTTTCAACACTGCGCTTTTCACCTTTATCCGATGTACCTAATTCATGCCACCTAATCTTTTAAAGTGTCGATTTACTTCACAAAAGACACCAGGCCCTCTGCCTTCCTCACATTTTCCCTCTCCCCAGCGACCCGCCCGCTTACCGCACTGTTTTTCACTCACCCCCCGCCCCGCAGTAAGG